TTAAATAGCACCTTTTGAGAATAAATTTCCCAACACTGTGTTTGTGTGTGTGAAAATATGTATTAATAAGTGTCCAACTATTCATAAACGGCTGAATATTATAAATACAAAGAAAGGAGATCAATCATCACACACCACTCTATAACATACAAAGATATAAAAACCTGATATTAATTGGATTTCTGAATATTACCCTAAATTACATTTGCTTTACAAATGTATAAGATAGTATCACACAACATTAAAAATATTTGTAATTATAAAATAACTTACTATAACCGAACCAACGATTTTATATTTAATATAAAATATCATTGTTTAATACACCATCTGAGCTAAAAAAAACACTGCATGTTGATAGAAAATAGAATTAATGGTTAAATAACTGATTAAAGTCATGTGGCAAAGAAGCACTAATCAGAGACTAGATAAAACGAGCATATAAACATTTTGAAAGCGTATATTAATGTAGATTTTGTTATTTCAAAAAGAAAATCAATGGTTTTGGTGATGTATAGGGATATTTAAAGAATTTTGGCAAATGCATTTACAAGATTTATTAGGATATAAAAATCATATAAATGAATTATTCGTCTTTATTGAGAGCTTCCTTCAATTCTGCTTCAATTCATTCCAAGTATTGCCCAGATCTTCCTTGTATTTCTCGAACATTTCCATGGCTTCTCTCGCCACCTCTCCTTCACCTCTTTGTAATTCTCCAAAATCTGCACATATTGTATGGTCTTTAATTTTTTTTTTAAAGTGGGAAAATTATTATACTGAAGAAGAGAGAGATAAGAGATTGTTTGAAAAAATATCAAAAGAATAACAAAATTTTACAAGAATCTACAAGAAAATCTTAAACTTACGATTTTGTTATTCTTTTATATTAATATATTTTATATTAATATATTTTATATTCCAGATGAGTATTTAACTCATAAAAAGTACAATACAATTTTTAAAAACATGAAGATATATTGATATCTTGTATTAAATCATATGAAATTAATTTTACATTTAGCTCAAATGTTATGAAATGTTAACTTTCACGATTTTGAAAGCAACTTTCAGTTGCGCGATAAGGAGATGCCTTTTTCCTTTTCATAATTTATGCACCTTATCCCAGTACAATTTCACAATCGTACTATTTATTTATGATTTTGTTCCCGAAGTAAACTATATGATATATTAAAAAACTTAAAACTCTTCCGGTGTATAGCTTTTGAAAAAACGTATCATTAAATGGAAGATAGGTATCTTTTATTTGTAAACGTTACGAGCTTTCGGGCAAACGCCCTTCTACAGGTTTGACAGGTCAAACCTGTAGAAGGGCGTTTGCCCGAAAGCTCGTAACGTTTACAAATAAAAGATACCTATCTTCCATTTAATGATACGTTTTTTCATAAGCTATATGATATATATATATATATATATATATATATATATATATATATATATATATATATATATATATATATATATATGCTATATACATATATACTATACAACATCACAAAACCTTATAAATAAAGTTATATTTATTTGTGTAAATATAATTAGGTTTAATGAAATAAAATGGTGTTATAAGAACTTATAAACAAATTATGCTTACCTAAATGGAGAGTTATTTTAAACAGGAGCGAGAAATATTTTATTCACTAAATATATGTGAATTATGCTTACCCAATGCATAGAAGAAGGTACACCCTATTTACTCAAATATTGCACAAAAAATTATATCAATAATATTTTTTAAAAATTGAATACTATATGTATATATAGACAGTATCTTTGTAATATATTTGAAAATAATATATTTTTCCAAAACCTCAAAGTCTTTAGACGTTAATAAATTAATACTTAAGAAACGATGAAATTTCATTCAATATATGAATATGAGCATTGGAATGCCATTTATCATTGGAAATATATCCTATTTAGAGCGCCCATGTTTATTTTTCTTTAAAATCAGTGGTCACACACAATAAAATAATTTTATTTTCTATCAATGTATTGAGGGCGCAGTAAAAATTGTTTCATATTTAAAAAAAAGAATACACGCGCTATAAAAGTTTACATTTCCTCAATATATATATATATGAAAAAACAATAGAAAAAAATAAAAGATAAGTGGGTCAGGTGTTGATATTAAAAATAAAGAAGACATCTCCTGACCACGAGCACATGTGATTTTTAGATGGCAGAGCGCCATCTAGTGGAGCAAAAATAAACTAAACGTTTATTAGGCTTGCTCCGTGATATTTGGCCAACCCAATTTCTTGATAAATCAAGAAAAGCCATCCACGAACGCGTTTTCGCGCTGTTGACGCTCGTCAGCGTGGAGAAGAAAATCAAGAAATAGGTATTTAAGGCCAAATTTGCGTAAAGACGCTTAACACATGAAAAAAAACAATAGAAAAAAATAAGAGATAAGTGGGTCAGGTGTTGATATTAAAAATAAAGAAGGCATCTCCTGACCACGAGCACATGTGCTTTTTAGATTGCAGAGCGCCATCTAGTGGAGCAAGCTAAATAAACGTTTAGTTTATTTTTGCTCCACTAGATGGCGCTCTGCCATCTAAAAAGCACATGTGCTCGTGGTCAGGAGATGCCTTCTTTATTTTTAATATATATATATATACGAGTGTATGAACAAAAAGACATATCCTGACCGCTCACATTAGCATTTTAGATGGCAGAGCGCCATCTGGTGGAACAAACCCTGGGAGGGTCCACCACTGATGAGACAGGCCTTCTCTATATTTATTCATTGCAGAATAAGCATTTTATTTCTAGAAGTAAATTGCGCTAATAGTTTAAAATATTCTTAACTATAACCCCTTCTCTCTCTTCTAATAAAGAAGCCTAGAGTTTTAGTACTTTGAGAATAGAAAATATCAATCTAAACGTGAAATTTAAAATCTATTTTCGATAAAAAAAATGAATAGATGTTTAAAATTATCTTACTGTTTTGGCAAGTTCCTTCACGGTTTGCTTATGAGTATCAAGTTGGTCGTGCTTCTCCTTCAGATACTTCTCGAACCAAGCTCCAAGTTTCTGGAATTTGCTTTTGAAAATCTTTCCGAGATCTTCAAATTTGTCCTTCAACTTCTGCCAGAATGATTTCTCACTTGAACCGTGGAATCTCAAGATAAATGGGTCTTTCTTAATAACTTCAAAGTATTTCTCATAAAACTCGATTTGATCCTCGACTTCAAGTTTCTTGTAGGCCTCGATATTCTCCCGGATTCTCTGGAACACACAACGTTAATACCACAAGAATATTTAATAAAATATTATAAATAATTAATAATAGTTAATTAACTATTACAACTAGTATAAGACACTATTGTATACCTCAATTAGTGCGGTAAGTAAATTGAGATTATTTATACTCATGGAGACAAAACTTAATAAAGTTGTATATTTTAACATATATATCGGGGTTCAGACAATAATATTGAAGTCACATGAGATAACTAAGTGTGAACAAATATTTATCTATCTCCTTCAAAAGAAAAAATTAGATGACTGGCGACATAAAATACTTTTCACTTCCTTAATTGAATTATAAATTAAGAGAATGTACTTTATTTAAAATTTTTCAGCACTGAAAAAAAACTTATTTCTAATTTTAAAGAATTTTAACTACCATATGAATTGAGACAAAATCCTTTCCTGATCCTGCAATTCAAATTGCTGATGGTTGCGCTATCTGTCAGAATAAATATCAACTAATTGTTTAACTAATAGCATTGAATCCTACAGATGTGAAATCAGAAAATGCTTTTTTTTTATTTATAATGTGATATCGGTACAATATCACTTTACTTATTTTCTCTACCATACCATTGTTTAAAAGTTTAAAATGAATGTATTGTGGTACAAGCAAACGCTTTAAACATCTTGATTCACTTCTTTATCGCATTCAAAATGTATTCGAACTAACGGCGTGTTTAGAGGATTAAGCCAGAGATATATATCTGGAATTCTCTACATCTACATTTTGAGTGGCTTAAATGTTTACTAAGCAGAATGGGCATTTCTAAATAATGCAGCAAGAACATTTTATTAAAATACCACGTCGTATGGACGTTGACTACAGAACATAATATGATTTCTAGAAAATAATCAAAACTTTCTCTGGGTAATTTCCTTTTAATTTGAATTCTCAGTGCTGCTCGAAAGTTATTTTATAGTAAAGAAGTCAGCAAACCTTTTTCCCCTAATGGGTTTAAAGCAATTATTCTTGTTATAGCTTTTCGGAAACTAATAAAGGTAATTATATGTTAGAATAATATGTTTTTATTTTAAATAGAAAAAAGGAAATTTTGAAAATAAAAAGAAAATATAACAAGATAACAAGATAAAGTTATGGTAGGATGATTTTAGTTTACAAAAAGAGGCACCTTTCCATTTAATTATGCATCAGAACGATGCACAGTTAATCACCCTAGTAGAAAAATGTGATGATAAAAAAAAGTGATACAAGTGATGATGATGAACGAGCAATAACACTAGTTCTGGCAAATTAAGACAAAAGGCCAACCTCTATACCTGTAAACCGGTGTTTTAGGTATTTTTTACTATCATTAATAAGGTGTTTTACTGGGGTGATGCATAATGGATCGTTCTGATGAATAATTGAAGGAAAAGGTGCCTTCTTTTTGGTACACACACACATATATATATTCATATTTATAAAACCAATCTATGTATATATAAAACAATGTTAATCGTATATTCGCGCCTAATATCGAAAGCCATTATTCCGATTTCTGTTAATCTATAGAGGTGCCTTCAGGTGACCCAGGCTATTCAAAATACTCTTTTACAAAGATAATATATACAAAGAACGCGCCCGGTTTACGAAGATATAAATATATATAATATGTTTAGAATGCTCTTTTTAAAAACTTTTATCTGGATGATAGCAAAAATATAGTTATATAAGTGAATCCCTCTGAGAGAATAACATCTCTATCGCTAAGATGACCTACCTCATTGTCGATGTCGAACAAGTCGAAAATTTGACGGTTAATTTTGTCAACCTTCTTCACCTGTTATCAACACCAGCAATGTGTGTAACATGGCCATATTTTATCTGCAATACTTACCCATTCTCTCAGGAAATGCCTGTTTCAATGCTGGGTTCATCGCTCTCAACTGAAAAAAAGTATATTTCCAGTTAGAAGAGATCATATTTATCACTAATCACACATTGAAATTACATAAATTCATACATTCTGAGACGAAAAATAAGATATTTGAGAATTCCGTATAATCACATAGACAATAGCAATGCCTCACAAACGATTTCGCTCACATTATACCCATATGTAATTATTTAAAAGCGGATGTACAGCATTTAGGTAAAAAGAAGCATGTTGGTGTCTATTCAAGGAGAGATATTAACAGTAATAACTCAACCATGACCGAACATGGCGCAACTGAACGTGAGAACAGAGATATCGTAAAATATATTCCTCCAGCCACAGATTCATGATTTAAAAAGCGATTTGGCGTATACCTGGTGAATCGGGGACTAAGATAAATATAGAGAAGCGGTTCAGAACAATTGGGGTCAGTCAAGGTGACCCTTGCGCCGAAACCCTCGACCTGTGCACTCTGTCGAGTATATTTGCAGTGGTGCTAGTTTAATTCAACCTGATATTAACCTGAGAAATTGATGAAATACGCCTAGAACAGCGCTGGATATCAAACTTATTCTTGTCAGCCACACGGCCAAATAGGTATTTATGGTCTAGAGCAGAGGTCGGCAAACTTTTGAGTAGGAAGAGTCAGAAATTACAATTTACAAATTTTAAAGTTTTTAAAGAGCCACAGATTTTTTCTCACCAAAATTAAATAGTACTCTCATTAATAATACTTACGTATGGAACTATATAAAGAGCCGCAGCTTCACATTCAAAGAGCCGCATGGGGCTCGCGAGGCGCAGTTTGCCAACCCCTGGTCTAGAGGACTCCTTCCTTTCATAGCCGAAACTATTTAGGTATTATCCGCAAAACCCTTACAGCACGACAGAATCTTAAAGATATTCTATCCCCAGTTGTGGTTTCTTTCATATTACGGCATCCTGGGTTTATTTTCATCAGGATAATACTCGAATACACACGGTAATAGCTTTTATTACTTGTCTTCGATTTTGCCCAACGTTACTTTGGAAAGGAAAATTGCCGGATTTCCCCCCTATTAATCACATTTGGGTAAAACGAGCAGGGTCTACCTCCAAATACTAGTATTTTGATTATCTAACGAGACAATTAAAGTGAATTTGGTACGATATGTTATTAGAGAGGAAATATGGCAATTCTAGGGAGCAATGCCAAGGCGAATAACATCTTGACTAACATGCAAAGGTGTAGATTATACCCTTATATTTTGATTTATTGTATGAATATCTATATTTTTATAATTTAGTTATTTATTTTATATAGACATGAAAATAAACTACTGAATTTCCACATTATCGGATTTCCATTTGGGGCGACTTTTATTTTATTTCAGATCGAATATAAATATAGAAACTTCTGAAAATGTTCAAAAGCTTGATCTATTATAAAGGTATATATATATACATATATACGAGGTGTGTTCAAAAGGTATCGCGACTTTTGAATTTTCGCGGGTTACGTATATTCGAATTTCGATCTTTTTGTGGCTTTATCTTGGTACTCATGTCTCTCACTTATGCCGACAAGCTCGGCCATTTGAATGTTCACTTAATTGTTGACAGCTGCTTTGCTTGCAGGTGTTTTGGATCGTCTTCGATTTTTACCTATTAAAAAAATGGATCAAAGAACCTGTATCAAATTTTGCGTGAAAAACGAAATTAAGTGCGCGGATGCATTCCGAATGTTGACTGTGGCATACGGAGAAGCTACCTTGGACCGAAGCAACGTTTATCGGTGGTACAAAATGTTCTCAGAAGGTCGAGAAGATGTGAACGACGAAGAGCGTGCCGGACGCCCGAGCACTTCAACAGACGAAAAAATTAATGAAGTGGAGAAAATGATATTGGCCAATCGTCGAATCACCGTTAGAGAAGTTGCTGAGGACCTAAACATATCGATTGGCTCGTGCCATTCGATTTTTATCAATGATTTGGGCATGAGACGGGTCGCCGCGAAATTCGTACCAAAATCAGCATCGCATGAACATTGCTATTGAGATGTTGGACTCTGTCTGCGACGACCCAAATTTGCTCCAGAGGGTCATAACTGGTGACGAAGCGTGGGTTTATGGTTATGAGGTGGAAACCAAAGCTCAATCATCTCAATGGAAGCTGCCGCACGAACCAAGACCGAAAAAAGCGCGCCAAGTTCGGTCGAATGTGAAAGTTTTGCTGACAGTTTTCTTCGATTGCAGGGGCGTGGTGCATCATGAGTTCTTGCCACAGGGTAGAACGGTCAATAAGGAATATTACCTGCAAATTATGCGCAATTTGCGCAAAGCAATCCGCCAGAAACTCCCGGATTTGTGGAAGAAGAAAAATTGGCTTTTGCACCACGATAACGCCCCTACTCACACATCGTTGCTTGTGCGCGACTTTTTGGCCAAAAACAACACACTAATGATGCCGCATCCACCATATTCCCCAGATCTGGCCCCCTGTGACTTTTCTTGTTCCCTAAACTGAAGAGGCCCATGAAAGGACGACGTTACGCTACGCTTGACGAGATAAAGACGGCATCGAAGAAGAAGCTGAAAAAGATTTTAAAAAATGATTTTTCGAAGTGCTTCGAAGATTGGAAAAACCGTTGGCACAAGTGTATAATATCTCATGGGGATTACTTTAAGGGGACAAAATAGGTATTCGTGAATAAATAAATAATTTTTGAAAAACACAAAAGTCGCGATACCTTTTGAATACTATGACTTCCTAAAAAAAATCAAAGAAATTCGTTTTTGAGAGTAAATATATATTCATGTGTTGTAATAAAATAAAGAAATTACTATCAAATCATTTTATCACTATATTATCCTACGTTCAAAATCACTTTATTAGGTACCGCTCAACAAGAGCAACCTAGTTTATGATAATTAAAACAGTGAATAATATGTGAAGGTTATTCACATATTAAACAAAATGTTAACGCGGAATTCAATCCCGGTTTATGACTGTCGGGAATCGAGGGTGTTACTCGCTCGTCCACCGTTTTTTTTATCCTAAGTTTAATCACATATCTGTGTATGAATATTTATAACATTTGCTCATCAAATACTTAAAAAAACATACTAAATGTACCAATTACTTAGTAATGAGCTTTGAATAAATATTTTCATTTGTTTAAATAATCCCTGATCGGGACAAAAGATTGATGATTGTCAAGCGCCATTTATATGAATGAGTATAAATTAAACGTTAATTTGGATTTATTACAAAGGATACTATTCATTATTATGCCTTTTAATCGAGTGCATTCTCTCCTTATTCCACCTTTATAATATTATAAATCAGTATGAAGTAAATTATCTAAATTATTATAAAGAATTCATAAATTTAAAAAATATATAAATAGGTATCTTATGAGATAAAGATTTCTAATTGTTATCAATTTTTGGATAAACTGTTGATATTAACAATTTTACTTAATTAATTCAAATAGTATAAATAAAATACCATTACTGAAGGTTGTCTTATGATAATGTATAAATAGAGAGCCATATCAGTGTTCAAAATCTATTATAAAAGAGTGAAAAACCTTAGGTTTAGTAGTCTCTATTTCTAAATTAAACACTTAGTTATATATATATATAAATATATATATATTTTAATCTAGAGATTTAAATAATATATATTGAAAAATGCTCCAGTACTTTAATGGATCTTTCATTCATAACTGAATTTAAATATCAAAATCTTAATAGAAATTCAACAGAATTGCATATATAATGGTGATCAAGTAGTATTTTAAATTACCTAAATCATTTTTTAAAGTCTAAAGTGAGGAGGTTTCCAAGAGTTAATTCATTGTTGTCACTTGGGTAAATAAATAAACTCGATATCAATAATATATTTTCATAGCGTTCCTAAAATTCATTAATGAAATTTTAAGCTAATGATTTTATGAAAAATAAGTCGGTGGAATTAATGGAAACATCATAGCTTCGTTTGAGTCTGGCGCCTTCAGAAAAAAAATCAATGAATTTAAAAGAAATGATACCATTTTCAAGTTCAATCGAAAATAAAAATAAAAAAGATAATATAAACATCGTTGATCGCTAATTACGTCAAAAATTAATTGAATATTTTGGGAGCAATTAATTGATTCTAATTCATAACCCCATGAAAAAAATAAAAGCCACTTTGGAGTGCGTTTCAGAATTACCTATATTGAAAAAGCGTGATCAATTCAAGTATTGATTATATAATCAATAAATTAATGAAAGGAAATTAAACTCTCTGTTAAATATTAGAAGATAGAATATTGATTCATCTATATTTTCGATTTGAAAAGCTTGTGTGGAAAGTCAAAGTGAAAATTAATGGTGATAAATATATTTCGCACTTTTATAATATGCTTGCTGCTCATGAAATGCATTTCTTCTGAATGATTCTTGCTGAGATTTTATCGATAATATAATCATCTTTATCGATAATTCCTTAACTTTCTCCGCTTGATAGTTTAAAAGGTTGAAACCTTCCATCTAACAGAAGACGAATCTGTTGAACACAAATGAAACATAGTAAGTATAGGTTTAATATATAAGTACAAGTACAATGTATATCGTTATATGTTTTAAAGAAACTTACTTTGAGAGGCCGCAGCAATTCCAACCATACAAAGTACCAAAAGAAACCGCATTTTGACTGAAACACAAAGTGAAAATTTGAATATTCAAATATTATAATGTTAAAAGTGAAATATAGAACCTATATCTCGACTCTAGACTTATTAAATAATGGTGCTTTATCGTACCGTCTGTATTTCTGGAATGTGAAATATTAATAGAGCGTATGTATGTATACAATACATTGACAGCTCTTACAGTTCTTCCATTATTTTATGTGTAATAAGAGCAGCATAAAATGATTTTATTTAAAAAGGAAACATACGTGCT